GTGCACGCGCTCCAGGACCAGGCCCAGCCCCGGCGCCTTGGGCACGTCCACCTTGGCCTCGCCCCAGCTGCGCTCCAGCACGTCCTCGGGCGCGTAGCCCTTGACGATGGCCACCACCAGGCCCACCATCTTCCGGATCTGGTGCGTCATGAAGCTCTGCCCCTTGACCTTGATGACCGCGAACTCCATGCCGTCCCGCTCGAAGGGCTCCTCGCAGAACATGTCCAGGACGTAGCGCTGGGCGCTGGGCTCCCGGGGCCCCTTCTGCGAGGTGAAGTTGTGGAAGTTGTGGGTGCCCTTGTAGCAGGCCAGCAGCCGGTTCACCTGCCGCAGCGTGTCGGCGCTCAGCCGGTACGTCTCGTCCTGCGCGTCGCGGTCCTTGTGCGCGAAGGCGAACGTGGGCAGCATGTAGACGTAGGTCCTGGCGTCGCACCTGTTCTTGGAGTTGAAGCCGCCCGTGACGCGCTTCAGTCCTGGGGGAGCGACGAGGACAAAGGTCTCAGACACGCCAGGGCCCTGTCCTGACACTGAACCCCGAACCCCACACCCCACACCCGCGGGGACACGACCTGGTGTCTGTCAGACCTGGGCTGGCGAGGGGCCGGGGCCGGGGGCTCGTCAGGCGCGCCCGGCACTGACCCCAACGTGAGCACTTCAGTCGAGTGCTGCAGGGCTTACCCAGTATTCGAATGTGAGATGGGAGGTGGCTGTTGATCTTTTCTAAAATGTCGTCAATCAGCCACACCTTCAGGGACACGACCTGCCCAGCTGCGGACACGCCCTGCAAAGGAGGCACAGGGTGTGAGGGGCCAGCTGGGGCCGGCTCTGCAAGCACCACGCGGGGTCGCTTGGGCAGACGGCCCACGCAGTGGTTACATCTTTTCCCGGAGGAGTCCTGCTTTCAGAGATGCATCCGCAGGGAATGACCAGGCACCAGAACAACGCTCTATATACCACGGGGGCGAGTGCCGCGTAACGTATGACATCGTGTGGATGGGAAAGAAAGTCCCAGCTCGGAGGTGACCCTCGGCCACTGGGGGAAATGGCCACGCGACTCAGGTGACAGAACGGTGAGGCGGAGCAGGGGATCCGTGGACCGTGGAAACCAGACGGCACGCCGCCTACCTTGTCTGTGCGGGCGCACCGCTGGAACGACATCTTCCTCATGTCCTCGCCGTGGTTCTCGGGAATACAGCCCGACCGGACCAGGGCCGACACCAGGTCATCCTCAATGGTCTTGAATTGCGAGGACCCGACATTCCTCTGAGGAAGAGAAGAGAAGACGTGGGTTTTCGTGTGGTCACCGACCACGAGAGAGGGCCCAAACTGCTCCAGCAGGTGGGGGCAGGCACAGCGTGCCCGCGCCCGCAGCATGGGGACCGCACCTGTGGCCATGCGGCTCGTCCCCTTCCCAGGGGAAGGGGGGAAGCCACCTGAGGGTACCCAGAGTCTCCAGGAACCCCCACCCTGGGCAGCGGCGGAACAGCCCACAGCAGGTGTCGCCGTGTCCTGCACCTGCCAGCTCTGAACCCAGCCCCCTCCTGCCGCTGGACACGTCTGTCTGCAGCCCCCAATGCAGAGGGACCCCCTCCCTCATCACTGCAGGGAGGCCGGCCCCTCGCTCAGAGGAACACACCCGGGATATTGCCAGCTGGGGCTGGGTTTGGCATCCCTGTCTTAAACCCGTTGTTTCATGCACAGCCTGTATGAAACAACTTGCCAGTTTAAGTGAAACAACAAGTTGAAGTCTCTCTCTAAAAAACAAACAAACAGTGATAACAACCCCCTCCCTCCCATCTCAATCTGTCCTTCTGTCCGCCCTGTGCGCTACTGTCACTCTCCACCCATTTCCCTGATGGGGAAACTGAGGCAAATGGAAGATGATGGAGCTTTCTCTCTAAATTCTTAAGACAGTGCCCTAAGGCAAAATTCACGTAACCAAAATCACCCTCAGAAAAGCATTCCGGGTCAAAGAGCGGCACAGGCGGACGGTCAGCTCCCACAAACACCCAGGGCTACCGCTGTCGGGCATGAACTTGGCTTCATGGTGCAGCCTGTGCTTTTCAAAATTAAAACAGGATACAAAGTAACTTCCTACCACTATTCCCAGTAAAGGTGACACCACCTTTGTCCAAACTTCCTTCACTTAGACACCCCGACCCAGCAGTGAATTTATTTCTCACTGTGAGTCAGGCTGACCAGAGTTGAGCACCAGGAGCAAGAAAATCTATGTGCCTTTGGGGGGCACCGTCTGCCTTTCCCGAAAAGGACCCAGCTGGGGAGCTGGGGAGAGACGCCTAAAAGGGCACCTGCTTGCCCGCGGGCAGCTGACTCCAGGGGGCCTTCCTGGCTGCGCTTGGGTCTCGGGTCCCAGCATCTGCCAGGCGCGGAGAGCGCCAATCACACGCCCGCGGCCAGGACCCTGGTCAGCGGCAGGGCGGGCCTGCGACTACCGTGGGAGCAGCCAACGCCCTGGTGCGGCATCTCCCATGGATGCAGCCAGGTCCAAGCGCTGGGGTTGCCATCTCAGCCTCGCCCGAAGCGCGTCGCACAAGAGCGGGGCTCCGGCCCTTCCCCC